GAGTATTTTAAAGTACTTTTTCAATTAATTTTGTTAGTTGCACAATATAAATATGATTGTCACTTTATGTCACATTTGTGTTAAAATCGAAAGTCCACTATGCTAGGACAGACATGAATTGATTGATTTTCTTTTTTTTTGGAAAAACAATAACAATTTATTTTTTGACAGAGTCCAAGGTGACAAAACGTGAGTGTTGTTGTTGGGTCTGGTTTGGGTCTCCTAAAGAAAACGTGTTAATAACTAACCAGATGTACTTTTTTTATTTGTATTGTTTTTTTTGGTTATTATAAATATTTTAATTGGAATCAAAACGCAGAACAGATCTTGCTAGGGATAATTCTTGTTAATATTTAATAATTGAGCGACACACTGAATTTCTTAATTTGGTAATGATTACCTCAGAACATGATCGTCGGCCGTTATAGACAACATATAACATGAGAAAATTTTCAGAGGCAGGCCGTTATACACTATAGGAATTTTAATTAAGAAAACCGTTATATAGTAAGGTTTTTATATAGTAAAAATTTGGGTTCTGATTCACAGTGCGTTATAGAATAGAGGCCGTTATAGAAAGAGCCGTTATAGAGAGAGTGAGCTGTACTTGCAAATTTATTCAATCATTAAAAACATATTATAGTAAATACAACAAAAAGTTTGAAGATAGTCGAACTCAACTAATTAAAGCATAAAACCAAATAAAGAAATTTACCATTTTTTCAGACATTGATCAAGCTTTATCAGATAATTTCAAAAATGCAATACTCTCACATTCACAATCAATAATTAGTTATTCAAGCATAGAAGCACGTGATATATATAATATATTATTACCAAATCTTAAAAATTTAAAGACTTTATCATTAATACCAACTGCTACTGATATCAAAATAGAATATATGAAAAATATTTCATTGCCGATTTATTAATATCAATGGAAATATCTGGTTATTAATACTTTTCCAGATAATGAACTTTTAGGAAAGCTATTTCAATCAATTGCACATTATTGTAAAAATTTAGTAGACTTAACAATAGTTTACGGTAACCAAATAGGTAAGCAATTAGTAAAATTCGAAGAACAAATCATCGATGTTTGTTGATTTGTTCTTGATGAAATACCAGATAATATAGATAAGTTCATTGTAAATAATGAACAAATTTTCTAAAAAATTTTTGTTTTTTAATAATAAAATAAAATAATTTCGACTTCAACCAATTAATATTAATATTAAAGTTTCCAAAATTCGAAATAAAATAAATTTGAAATTTGAAATGCTAAATTAAAAAAAATATATTGGTTTTAAATTATGTCAAGAAGACCTCCTGACATCGTTTGCGCACATTTTAATAAAGATATCCTGGCAGGTATAAATCTACCTGGAAAAAGGAAGTCCATAGTTGATGCAAGAACATTTAGCGAATGGACGTCAAAAATCCACCTATTGAAATAAATATCAAAATGATGATTTTTTGGATGAAACAGGTTCTTTGACAAATTCTAATTCTTCAAATATTCTTGGAACAAGGAGTTTGTCTAATAATAATCAAAATCAAAGGATTGAATGAGTATTATTCGAATTAAGATTTCAAATTAGTATTAGTATTAGTATTAGGTTAATTCCGATTCGATTTCAATTTCGGATTTCGAAAGCTTAATATTAAATAGTTTTTTCGAAAGCTTCGAATTTTATTGAAATGATTCTCGCCATCATGTATGTTCCAGACTTCTTTGAACCTGGTAAATAAAGATTACGGGTTCTAAAATTATTATTATTTAAAGACATGAATAAACCATAAGCAAAAAGTTGTCTATCATAAATTTAGTTTTAAATTCAATTTTCGATTTCGATTTCAAATCTCGAAAACTTGTGATTTTTTTGAAAGTTTCACCATCATATATGAATATAATAAATAATTCTCAAAATAGTTTCAAAATTATTTTTATAAGATTATTCTTCTTGAAAATATTGAATATATGAAGTTAATTAAAGATGATAGGATTAATCCAGCCGCAAGCATTAGAGGTGGAGTATGGTTGAAATAGAGGTTGCAGTAGTTGTCTAGTTTGTGTGATTTTGGAGGGTACACACCAATTCGAGATTTCAGAGACTATTGATTGTTGGCCATAGAGTTGAGTCCAAATCAGAGTTAGCTTGGCAAGAAAATAGGCGAATGGTATTTTTAAACGATCAATTGCAGTAGAGATAATTAAGATTAGATGAGGATAGTGCTTGTTTAAGTTTTTTATTGTGGATAATGTGTTATGGATAATTTCAAGTTTGAATGGGAATAATGAGCTATATAGTAAAAGTGTAAATTATTTTTAGTGAACATTGAATAATGGGAAAATTTTAGACAAAACCTGTATTATGACTAATTGATTGGTGTATTTTATGGAATCTGTTTTTACCAAGATAGGTCACGTTTACTGTTGAGGGTAGTCAATATTGTTGATCGGATAAGATTAGAGAGTGGAGTTTTTTGATATAAGAAAGATTTATGCAAGTATTCAGGTGAAGCTGATTTAGCAAAGTTATCAACTAAATACTTATTGCCCGAATGTGATTTAATTTTGTGGGGTAATTTTTGATTTTAAATTTATTACAAGTAGTGTCGGGGTGATGTTATTGTCAAGCATTTGGATAGATGATTGACTATCTGTATAAATTTATACCAAACAGTATTGTGGACAAGTTATAGGTCATGATAATTTTCCAGGGAAAGGGTATTAATGAACAAGAAAGGAGTGCTTGACATTTTTCATCTTTTAATTGAATCCAGGTACAGGATAATTTAATATCTTGTTGGCCAAATTTTGATAAAGATCCATCTGTGTAGAACGTCAATGATCGAGAGGAATGGTTATTGGTAGCATATGATGGGATATTTTGTATTGGTGAAGAGGTAAATGTGGATTGTATAAGTTAGTGATTTATTGAATGTGATATATTTAAGGATATACAGTCAAATCTCAATAAGCTGAACTTTTGGGAATCACAAAAATAGGATCAGATTGTTAAAATTCGGTTTATTACAATTATAATTGCTGAATATATTTGATTTCTCCTGTAGGTGTTGATAGTATTTTTGAAAAAGATTTTTTCTCTTAATGGAGAAACTATTCATGTATGCAACATTTGCAATTGTGACAGATTCAGTGTTGGTAGTATATGTATTAGTTGTTAAATTAAATGATAAAGTAGCATTAATAATGTATTCTAATTCTGTTTGGATTGAAGATGACATAATAAAGGCACAACATTAATGGAGATAAAGCTTCACCTTGATCAACTCCATTATTTAATTGATAAGGATCAGTTAGCTCATAGTCTGTGATGACTTGATTTGTTCTACCTTGAAATGCAGTGAAAAGTATTTTTCTTAATAGTTTGGGAAGTGAAGATTTATCTTATTTATTAGGTCAAAAGCCTTGCTCAGTCTTGTGAGAGAATCCAACTTTCTTTTTTTAAATTTTCAGGAATTGCATTTATAATTTGGATTGGTTCTTGGTATGATTTTCCTGTAAGCCAGCAAAATTATTTCCTTTTAGAATGGAGCAAGTTAACATGGTAGATGAAAGTTTGGTTTGTGATGATTTTGTAGTAGCATTTACAAATGGATTCTAATAATGTAATAAGTCAAGTGTATGTCGATAATTCCATTCTTTGGGTTTTGGTAAGGGACGAACATTGACCTGTTTCCAAGCTGATGGAATGTGAGACGTGGATAAAACCAGAATTTCTATGGTATCTGGATTTAGGTGTTTGAACATTTCATTAGAGATTGGTGATTGTCCAGCACCTTTTTGTAAAGAGGGATCTGGAATAGATCGGCTGTCATTCATCAATTAAAAGGCATTGAATTTTTTAAATCGTGCTTTGTTTCAAAGATTGACTCATTTTGCCATATATAATACACAAACTCTACCTTAAATAATTGAAATACATGATCCATAAATTACTGCAATTTTCTTATGTGTTCCGTTCATCCCCTGCAACAAGGTTTGACTGTAAATTATATCCTTTATCAATTAAATTTAAAAATATATACAACTTTAGCTTAGCAGATAGTTTGGGCAGTTAGAAATTTTTTTTCCAAAAATCCATTATATTTAGAATAATTTTTATTATTATTATTATAGCTTTAGTTTATTATTAAACCAATCTTAAACCTCAATCCATTAAATCAAGGTACACTAAATTGAGATTCACTGTGTAATATAATTTTAAATTATCAAATTAAAAATTGAATTCTGTTTTTTTTTTGAATTCAAATTAAATCAAATCAATCAAATATAAAACAAAACAAAGCACTCTAAAATTCAAATCAATTAATTAAAATAAATAAATATATTGATACTCTCAAATAATATAATACTTGATGATTTAATAGAATTTGTGAACAATTCTAAATTATATTATTCAAAAACCTTATGTCTGCTCATTTTAAATCAACTGTTATAATATCGTTCAATAAACTATCATACTTTTAAATATAATTATAATAGAGTTAATAACATTAAAGCAAATATATGATAATTGTGATGATAATAATCATAATTTACTAAATTACAATGCTTCAAAAGCTCCAACAGGTAGTAAATCAATTTAGTTGTATCTCATTTATACTCTCCATTCTTAGCCCATAATGTAAATGTAGCTTTATTCCATCTATTGAAACAAGATTCGCAACTAAACGGGACGTTTTGTCATTTTAAATTTCTATAATTAAAAAGCTGATCTAGGATTCTGTCTGTAATTAAAAAATTTGTGTTAAAATTTCCTGGAGGCTTGAATATCATACCAAAAACGGAAAGCTACACATAATAGTGTAACGAACGTTCTCACATTGATAAAACACGTCAAAGTGCATAATAATAATAAAAATGTGTCACGTAATAAGGAAGAATCATATCAATAATTTATTTTTTTAAAAAAAGAAACTTAATTCAATAATAGACTTATTATTACTAACATGGCAACTCAAATTTCTAATAATAATAGCATCAGTAGTAATATGAACAATTTTGAACGCGTATTACCTACTATGCCAGTAATTGTTAAATCGTCTAAAATTTCAGCAACAGCGGAAACATCGTCAACCTCTTCACCTCCAGCTTTTTCAACTTCATTTCCCACTACTGATTCTACTGATATTATAACACCTACAACAAGGACAACTACTAGTACTGCAATTTCACCAACTATTAAAAGTATTAGCAATAATAATAATAAAAGAAAGAATGTAAACAATCCACGAGAAAAAGGCAATGAAGATGATGGTGGCAAACCTATCAAAAAAATAAAGAGAGTTAAAGATCCCAATGCGCCAAAAAGACCAGCTAATGCATATATACAATTTGTCAAGGCAAAAAGGTAATAAGCAAAACATCATATATACGTATGTGTGTGTGTTTATGATTTATATATAAGTATGTATTAATGTCTATTTATTGAAAAATCAGGGAAGAAATTAGTAAGATATATCCCGAAAAGAAAACCAAAGAATTATGTAAAATTCTTGGACAAATATGGCAGAAGATGACCTTAGAAGAAAAAAAGGTAATAATAATAATAATAATAATAATAATAATAATAATAACAATGGAATATTAATATCTATTTGATTTGATGAAACATTATTTATTTTATATTTACTTTACTTAGCCATATCTTGAATTGAGAGACATAGCCATAAGCAAATATAAAGAAGAAATAAATACCTATAATTTAGTAAATATTTATTTATATTCCTTCACAATTATATATATTATTCGTTAAATATCATTATTGTAATTATTATTATTAGACTGTAGAAAACAAAAAGAAACAAGAAGATACAATTAAACTGCCAACCAATGAATACGAATTACAAGATGACACTAGTAAATCAATAAAACACCTTATTAAGAATGCTCAACCTGCACAAACAACTGACGAGCTTCTTCTTGCTCAGTCACAATTCAACACATTTATAAATAATAATAATTATAATTATAATTATAATTATAATAATAATAATAATAATAATAATAATAATAATAATAATAATAATAATAATAATAATAATAATAATAA